TGATGCCATGTGTCATAATTGTTGCCTCGTTCTCCAACACGTGCAAGCGGCGTGTTAATGTGCACTGACGGTTTTGCAATGATGGTTGTACCCGTTCATTTAATGCCCATCACTTTTGTCGTTTCTCTGCCCGTGCCACGTTTCCATTTTGAAAATGCTTTCCTGCTCCTCTGTGCACACATTTCATTTTACTCTTTTCCTTTTGGCTTGCTCATGACGCTTCGACCTGCTCACTCTTCGTCTTCTACTTTCCTTGAGTCTTTTCATCTTCTTGATGGATGGAGAGAGTGGTGTCGCATCTTCTGCACCAGCCAAAGGAAAAGGCAAGGCACGCGGCAAAATGGTGGCCGCCGAGACGGCCGCCGCTGAAAAGAAAAAGGGTGGAAATCATCCTAGGGATCCTTTCCCGGTCATCACTGGCTACGAATGGGTCAGAGGTGACGTCAAAGAGTTCCATAGCGTCTTCAAGTCATTTCTGGAGATCAATGCGATGTGAAGATCGCACAGGATCTGCCAAGCGTCCATTTCTAAGCTCATCCGGCTTGAACCTTGTCAGCCCGGCGAGCGTGTGTATATGGGGGGTACCTCTAATCCCCAATTTTTCTATATGTACCAATGTTTTTTTAGGGATTTGGGCGTATGCCTTCCCTTTACACAGTTCGAATGCGATTTTTTGAACTTCGTCAATGTGGCTCCTTGCCAACTTCACCCCAATAGCTGGGGTTTATAAACTTAAATTGGGTGAGTATCCCTTTGGTTTGGCGTCCCTGAATGGGAGTAAGTTTAGGGGGCTGTTTTCGCTTTACTCCCAGTTGTACAAAAGTTTCAAAAATGAGTTTTTCCGGGTTTTTCCTAAAGAGGTCGACCTGTTTAAAGATGAAGTGTTCCACTTTGGCGGGTTGTTGAGGTTTCCCCTATACTGGCAGCAGGATCCGGTCAAGTTCAACGGGTCAACCAATCTTCAACTGACGGCCTCAGATACTGCTGCCATTACTGCTTTAGCCGCGCTCCCTCGTCCTTTCGATTGCAAGCTCATCCTGTTGCTTGCTAATCTGCGTACAAGGAGAGGGGCTTAGAGAGTGAGTACCTCAGCACCCTTGGTTGTTGGGCTTTCTTACTTTTTCTTCTTTTTCTTATGTGTTGGATTTTTGTGCTTTGCAGGCATCATGGGGACACTAGTACACAATACACATTTTATGTCGGTCATTTTAGGGGTTTTTACGTTAGAAAAACTTCCGACGTTGTAGAGGGAGACGTAAATTTACGTCGGGGCATGAAAACCGACGTAAATTTACGTCAGACATACCAAAGTCCGACGTAAAAAAGTTATAAAAAATTAAAAAAAAAAAAATGAGTGCAAGGAGAACGGCCCGTTCTCCAATCAGAACGGGCCGTTCTCCAAGTAGCACGACCTGTTCTGCTTGATAGACCCAGGTGTGGGTTCTCCAAACCCGGACTTGGTCACTTCCTTCTCCAGCTTCAAAAACTCGAAATGCAACACAAACATTATTACGAAAAAAAACATCCCAGAAAACACAAACTTGATAGAAGATGCTACCTCATAGAACCTCCCTGAAAAGCCCATGACCAACGCAACCCTCCGAAGAAGAAAAACAACATCACGCGAAGAAACACAGAATAAGGTGTAGATGAGGAGGACAACCACGATTTGAGGAGGAGGGGGAGGGATGCGGAAGAAAAATAGAAGAAGGTGCACAACGCGCAGGAGAAGGAATCCATGAAGTTTTTGAAATCTAGCTAGTGCGCGCACACCTTCTTTTAAGCAGGTTCCGTGGGTTATTTACAATGACCCTAATTGGGTCCGACGTAAATTTTAACATCTACGTCGGACACAATGCATAGCCGATGTAGATGTTAAAATTTATGTCGTGCCACCGCGTTTTTATTACGTCGGGTGTTTGTATATCCGACGTAAAATGGATGACGTAGTATCCTAATTTTCCACTAGTGGGAGGAGCAAGTGGCGCGAGCTGAAAGCCCGCTACAACGTTGCCGAGATCAAGGTCCCCGAGCCCCTCGAGGCGGAGGTCGCTCCCCTGGAAACTCGTAGAAAAAGAAAGAGGGGAGAGAAGGAGGTCGGGGGGACCTCTGCCCCTCAAGATTGATGGAAGCACTTGGAGAAGATGAATGTTCTTCCAAGCTTTCCATGCAAGGACCGAAATACTCTTGAGGCAACCTTCAAAATAAGGCTTGAATCTCCATGAAGGAACCTTCAATGGAGGTTGAAGCAAGGAATGGATTCAGTTACTCCTTAGCTTGAGGTAGAAGCTTGAGGAACCAAACAAAGGTTGAAGCACCTTTGGTAGAAACCTATAGAGAGAATTCTCTACGGTTTTTAGGAGAGACTTTTGGGACAGAAGTCTGAAGATTTATTTCTCAAATGTTCAAAAATGATTACAAGAGAGGGATTTATAAATATATAGGGAGAGGTAGCTTCTAGGAGAAGCTAACCTTAACCATGGTTCACTAGGAACCATGGTAAGGTGTAGCTAACCATCCATGGTTTCTAAAACTTGTAGGAGAAGCTAACCTTGACCATGGTTCACTTAAGAACCATGATAAGGTCAGCCCAACCTACCAAGGTTTAGAAACTTGGAGGAGAAGCTTCAAAAACCAAGAAGATAGCTTAGAAATTTTGGCCAAAGAGAAACAAGTGAGCTAGGCGGCCAAGGCTCCATTTCCTCCTTTGAATTATTTCAAAAATTGTTGATTTGGTTTAGTTAGGTTCATCAAATGATGATGAGACCTAGCTAAATCAAATCTATGAAAAATTAGGAGTAAAATGAATCTAATATGCAAAATTTTGACTAGGCCCAACTTAGGCCCAATTTCTAAACACACTCCCTAGCTTTGCTAAATGTCACCCCCTTTCTTTACTGAAAAAAAAAAAAGAAAAGAAAATGAATGTATCAACAAAGGAGGTTAAATGGAGTTGAACTCTTCAAGTAACCCACCCTAAAATCAATATACAATCACTAATTAAAAGCAGGTAAGGTTCCTCACAAATACAAAGGCAAAATTAGACCTATACAAAGGAACTATGTACAAAATATATGAAAAGGTCTTTAAGATCATCTCATTCCTCTTTGTTCTTTTAAGATATCACCTCTTAGATTCTTTGGCCTAGGCCATAGTCTATCATCCCCTCCCTCTTGAAAAGGATTTGACAACAAATCTCGAGGGTCTTCATGATTATTGGCCACACCTACAAATATATAATAAAATTCATGAGAGATGATATTCTCAACAAATAAATGTGAAAGGTATATCCTAGAAGGAATCCTTTCATGGAACCTAAAGAAATCTATGATACTAGACCTTCTAATATAATGAATAGGATCCTTTCCAAAACATAGATTAGGTATATTACTAAATCCTAAAAATGTGCTAAAACTAAAACTATAGCACACTAAAGACTTAATCCTAAAAACTAAAACATCTTGCCTAAAGTACCCTATGTGGTAACCTAGGCATTTCCTAGAAAATAAGGAAAATACTACTAAGAAATTTCCTAAACAATTTTGGATTATATTATTTGTTGGATAGTTATGAAAAGAATTTGTCACAAGGAACCTTGAAGGTTCATATGTTATATCCAACAAATAATATATTCCATAAATTGGGTGCATTATTGACACAACTAAGGTAGGACAAGTCCTACAAAAAGGAAGGCTATCTACCTTGGGCACCACCAAGGAAGTAGCATGAGAAGTAGAACTAAATGAAGTCCACTTCTCCTTCACAAAATCTTGAAGTTGAGATTCTTTTTCTTTAAAAATAATGGATTTGTGAATCTCTTCTTCAAGACTAGTGGCAGTGTGAGGGTAAGAGTTAAGGTCTTTATGAATAAAGAGAATATTTTTCGTAGGTCTTCTAGTAATAAAGCAATTCTCTTTAGTCATAACTCCCTTAGAGGATATTTCTTCCTCTTTACTCTTCCCTACTTTCTCACTTTTTCTTTTGATTTTCATTTGTGCTTGATCCTCAGCCACTTGTTGAGGTGAGAGAGGATAAAGCACAAATTTCTTTTCCTTATGAGTGAAGGTAATTTCATTAGTAAGACCATTATGTATAGTTTTCTTTTCAAATTGCCATGGTCTTCCTAACAAAATATGACAAGCTTCCATTGGTACTATATCACATAAAGCTTGGTCCTCATACTTCCCAATGGAAAACTTAACCTTCACTTGTTGGTCAACTACTATGTCACCATCCTTATTAAGCCATTGCAAATGATAAGGTTGAGGATGTGGCATAGTAATTAAACTCAACTTTTTAACCAACCTAGTGCTACAACAGTTGCACCATGAATCACTATCAACAATGAGAGAACAAACATTATTTAAAACATTACATCTTGTATGAAAGATGTTCTCTCTTTGTGATAGGGTACCACTAGGTTGATTATGATGGATTCTCCTAAGCATTAGGAGCTTTCCTTCATACGGATAAACTGGCTCCACTTTGGACGTTGGAAGTTTTGTTTCAACCTCACTCTCAGTAGAAAAGGAGGTAGTAGTCTCTTCTTGACTGCTATAAGTTTCATGCCCCCTTAAGATCATGACTTTCTTTGTAGGGCATTGAGAAGCAATGTGGCCTCTCCCTAGACACTTGAAACATTTAATATCACTAGTCTTTGTGCTAGTGTGTGGAGTGATGAGATCTTTATCCTTATCTTTGTTTTTCTCTTTCCCCTTAGCCAATTCTTTGGAGGGTTCTGAAATAATTTTCTTTTCAAAAGGTTTTTCTTCCTCCATGTAGTCTTTCTTAAGAGATCTAGAGTGGGAGCTTTCTCTTTTAGAAGATTTTCTCAACATTTGTTGTTCTACCCTTACACAAAGTTGGACCAAGTCATTTAGGTCCCTGTAGGGTAGTAGCTCCACTTGGTCTCTAATCTCTAAGTTAAGACCACTCATGAATCTGGCTACTGTAGTGGCTTCCTCTTCCCTTAAACAAGCCCTCATCATGTAAAACGCCATTTATTGCCTGTACTGTTCTACAGACATATCCCTTTGTTGAAGCCTTTGGAGCTTATTCATAAGCTCCCTTCCATAGTAGGTGGGAATGTGCCTCCTCCTCATAGCACTTTTAGGATCATTCCAATATTAAATTGGAGCATCATTATGGATGCACCTTTCTCTTTCTAAGGCCGTCCACCAATACATGGCATGCCAACTTCATGGTTAGGTGTGGAGTAGACACCACTGCTCTGAGCTGATTCAACATCGGCCTCCCAATGATGATGTTATAGGAGGTGTTGGCTTCCAGAAGAAGGTATCGGACCATAATTCTCCCACCAAGAAGCTTGCAACCCCCAACTACAAGAACACGACGGACAACCAACACCGCAAACCCAGAATGCTTCGCATCCCAAGTCCTATCTCAGCTAATTTTATATAAACGAGTTATGCACTTTTTTCCCACCTCAGTCTCTTATCCCAAAAATGGGTTTTGGCTGAGAGGGTTTTTAACGAGGCACATATATTCATCAATAAAATAACTCATTCTCTTTTATTCACAATCTCTTATCTCCATCATTTTACCACAAGGTGCTCTATGAGCTGATTCAACATCGGCCTCCCAATGATGATGTTATAGGAGGTGTTGGCTTCCAGAAGAAGGTATCGGACCATAATTCTCCTTGTGTCCGGAGAAGTTTCGAAGGTGGTCAGCAGGTCCAAGTATCCCCATGTGTGTACTCGTTCTCCTGCAAAACCAACTAGGGGCTCTGTGTGAGGTTGGATGAGAGAGTGGGGGATGTCTAACCTGAGGAAGGTTGGCCAATATAGAACGTCGGCTGAACTTCCTTGGTCAATAAGTGTCTTCTGAACTTCCCAGTTGGCTACTTCTACGGCGATGACCATGGGGTCATCTTGATTGGGGCTGACACCAGCGTAGTCCTCGTTGGAGAAAGAGATCGAAGGTGAGCTCTGGTGCGATGTCGAGGTAGCGGAGTGGACACTGTTGATATTGCACAAGTGTCTCTTCCGGGTCGAGCTGGTGGCACCTCCCCCTGCAAATCTGCCTGCAATTGTATTGATAACTCCACGTAGGGGAGATGATCCTGTCTCTTGGCCTACCTGGGCTTGCACTGCTCCATCGACCTTCTGCTGAGAAACAGAGGGTTGGTCCGTGCGAGCCCCTGAACCACGGCCTCGGCCCCGTCCTCATCTGCCATAGCCTCCTCGGTGACCCTGCTGTCGCTGGACATATTGGCCGAGGTGGCCTACTTGGATGAGTTCTTCAATACGGTCCCGAAGTGAGCGGCACTCCTCGGTGGTGTGACCATGATTCCTATGGTACCGACAATGCTTGGATTTCTCGGTGCTGTTGGGGGTGTGCCCTGGCGGTGGGAGGGTGAGAAGATTGTTGTTACTGGCCTCCTCCAGGATTTGTACCCTGGGCGTGTTCAGGGGAGTATAGAAGTCATAACTCCCCCCTGTTCGTCTTAGCCGACTTCTTGAACTGGCTGTCATTATTGACTTTGACCTTGTCCTTGTAGCCACCGTCGGGTTTTACCTGTGATTTCTCGCGAACCTGGTCACGGAAAGCAAAATGTTCCTCCATCTGAATGTACCCAGCGCCACGGGCACGGAGGTCGTCCATATCGCGAGGTGCTTCACGACATAGGTTGTCGACGAACGGTCTGGGTTTGAGTGCCATGAGCATGGCGTGTAGGGCGACCTCGGGGTTTAGGTTCCTGATCTTTACCGAGGTGTTGGTGAATCGCTCCATGAATGCCCAGAGTGGCTCGTCGTCGTTTTGTCTGAGACTGGCTAGGGCGGTAGAGGTGATGTGGTGAGGTCGGCTCGTTGCATATTGTGCCGTGAACCGGCTGACCAGGGTGCATATTGTGCCGTGAGGTTGGGAAAACCCTACACAGAATAGCATCATTGTTAGTGTAGAGGTTTACCTGCGTCGTATATAGGTCGATGTGCTCGTCTGGGTCCGTCGTGCCATCATAGCGGTCGAGGTGGAGAGGCTTCCACCCGTGAGGGAGTGGTGTCTCCATGATGCCATCTATGAAAGGGTGGCGGCGGAAGGTTGTCTGATCCCCTACGACATGAGTAGGAGCCGTGCTGTCTTCATAGGTCGGCTTGTGCGTTGGTGCATGAGACCGGTGTGAGGCAGGTCTGGGGGTTGGGCCCCTAGTTGCAGTCCGGGGTTGGGAGACTGAGTGTGTCTCTTCCCCGTGGAGGTTGCTCGCCTGAGGCTGAGGATCAGAGGGACGCCGAGGGAGTTGAGCGCGAATACGCTCGTTCTCGGCGCGCAACGCCGCCAGGGGGTAAGCGTGCTTAAGGTTCGTACTCGACCTTAAATCAGAGTAAAATGGAATTTATTAAGGTTCGAACTCGACCTCGGGTAAGCGTGCTTAAGGTTCGTACTCGACCTTAAATTAGAGTAAAATGGAATTTATTAAGGTTCAAACTCGACCTCGGGTAAGCGTGCTTAAGGTTCATACTCGACCTTAAATCAGAGTAAAATGGAATTTATTAAGGTTCGAACTCGACCTTGGGTAAGCGTGCTTAAACATAGAGCACCTTGTGGTAAAATGATGGAGATAAGAGATTGTGAATAAAAGAGAATGAGTTATTTTATTGATGAATATATGTGCCTCGTTAAAAACCCTCTCAACCAAAACCCATTTTTGGGATAAGAGACTGAGGTGGGAAAAAAGTGCATAACTCGTTTATATAAAATTAGCTGAGATAGGACTTGGGATGCGAAGCATTCTGGGTTTGCGGTGTTGGTTGTCCGTCGTGTTCTTGTAGTTGGGGGTTGCAAGCTTCTTGGTGGGTTTGAGCTTTGTCTTCGGGCTCGCTAGCAGGGCTCTGTCCTCCCCTACGGGGATCGGTCCTTGGGCCGAGGTCAGTGACCCCCACGTGGTTGTTGTGAGCTACGGTGGGGGGGGTCCTGCTTGCTTTGTTCGCTAGACGAGGAGATCTTTAGACTCTCGGCGTAGCACTGCCAAGCTGTCTTCTGATTTCCTTTGACGGAGATGATCTTACCGTCATTTCCTGGGAACTTCATGGTTAGGTGTGGAGTAGACACCACTGCTCTGAGCTGATTCAACATCGGCCTCCCAATGATGATGTTATAGGAGGTGTTGGCTTCCAGAAGAAGGTATCGGACCATAATTCTCCTTGTGTCCGGAGAAGTTTCGAAGGTGGTCAGCAGGTCCAAGTATCCCCATGTGTGTACTCGTTCTCCTGCAAAACCAACTAGGGGCTCTGTGTGAGGTTGGATGAGAGAGTGGGGGATGTCTAACCTGAGGAAGGTTGGCCAATATAGAACGTCGGCTGAACTTCCTTGGTCAATAAGTGTCTTCTGAACTTCCCAGTTGGCTACTTCTACGGCGATGACCATGGGGTCATCTTGATTGGGGCTGACACCAGCGTAGTCCTCGTTGGAGAAAGAGATCGAAGGTGAGCTCTGGTGCGATGTCGAGGTAGCGGAGTGGACACTGTTGATATTGCACAAGTGTCTCTTCCGGGTCGAGCTGGTGGCACCTCCCCCTGCAAATCTGCCTGCAATTGTATTGATAACTCCACGTAGGGGAGATGATCCTGTCTCTTGGCCTACCTGGGCTTGCACTGCTCCATCGACCTTCTGCTGAGAAACAGAGGGTTGGTCCGTACGCAGACGGATTTTGTAAGGAAAATTGGTTTTGAAACAAAAATTTTCGTCACTAAAATTAGTCTCTAAAGTTCAAAAATTTTCTAAATTTTGTTGCTCCTTCTCTTCCAATCCCAGCCACCAAATATGCAGCCCTCACAAGTGTATCACTCTTCTTTTTGAAGCAACCTTGACTTTGGTTACTTCTAGGTGTTTGCAAGAGACCTTCCACCAAGAGAGAACAAGCTCCCTAAGCAACCACCAAAGTCCTCAAAGTTGACTTCCTTTGACTTGGCCTCCTACACCTTTTAAGAAGCACTCGACCACCTTCAATTGCTGGAATATTAGTGCTAAAACTGAAAAGGCACAATTTATAATGGCTACACCAATTGGTAGAATGAAATGAGACAAACTAGAAGGAGTTCCACAAAAATGACAAGCAAAAATTAAGGCAAATTTAGAAAGCTAGCACACAAAGGATAACCTATCAAAGGCACTATAATGGATTACAAAAACAAAGCTAATTAGAAACAAAATTAAGACAAAAATATGTGGCTGGACTGAAAATTTATAGTCAAAGATTTCACCAAAACCGAGAGCTAGATACACAAAATTTTTCACTCCTTTTGGATTTTTCTTTTTCTATTTTATTTCTTTTATTTTTGAAAAATATTTTTCACTTATTTTTCTTTGATTAATCAGGAGTTTAAATGCCTTTTTAACAAATATAGGTCTCGGTCTTAGGCTAATAAAACTTCTACAAAAATTTTCACACAAAACAAGAGGTGTTCACATGCATCATTCAACTAGTGCTTCACAAATTTATAGTATTTTTAGGTCAAATTTTTATGCACTATTTTCTATTGTTTTTCTCATGCAATAAGAACACATACACCTCTGTTTTGCCTCTGTTTCTAATGTATAAAATTTTTTAAAAGTTTCAGCCACATAATAAGACTCAATAAAACTTAATAGGAATTAGTGTTTAGAAAATTTTTTGACAAAACTTTTAACAAGACATAATAGAAACCTAACTCTAGGAAATTTGCTAGAACTACTAGCAAATTATGAACACAAATATGTAAAAAAAAAAAAAAAAAAAAAGCACATATAGATAAGGTTCAGATTCAATAAGAAAAAAATACACAAAAATTTTGGACACACAACACACAAAAAATTAGGTCAAACAAGCTAGTCTATGAATTTGCAACATGTAAAGGACTACACATGACTCCTATGACAAAACAAATGATTCAAAAATAAAACTAATGCAATGAGAATGAAGTCCAATCACGGACACATGTTATAGAATGGAGAGACTCAAACAAAATACAAAAACGCACAAGTTTAAGAGAACCTAAAAGCGCAAAACCGAAATTGATTCACAAGAGTAGGAAACAAGCAAAAATGAATCAATTAATTCATACTTGACATATAGGATCCATCAAACATTTTATTAGAACTAGATCCATGCATCAAACACAAGTTTAGACATAGGAGAAGGAAGATACAACACGAATTCACACAAAAAATTTAGAACACAAAACCTCAAGAGCACTAGGCTCTAGATACCAAAAATGATGGAAGCACTTGGAGAAGATGAATGTTCTTCCAAGCTTTCCATGCAAGGACCGAAATAATCTTGAGGCAACCTTCAAAATAAGGCTTGAATCTCCAAGAAGGAACCTTCAATGGAGGTTGAAGCAAGGAAGGGATTCAGTTACTCCTTAGCTTGAGGTAGAAGCTTGACGAACCAAGCAAAGGTTGAAGCACCTTTGGTAGAAACCTAAAGAGAGAATTCTCTACGGTTTTTACGAGAGACTTTTGGGAGAGAAATCTAAAGATTTATTTCTCAAATGTTCAAAAGTGATTACAAGAGAGGGATTTAAAAATATATAGGGAGAGGTAGCTTCTAGGAGAAGCTAACCTTAACCATGGTTCACTAGGAACCATGGTAAGGTGTAGCTAACCATCCATGGTTTCTAAAACTTGTAGGAGAAGCTAACCTTGACCATGGTTCACTTAAGAACCATGGTAAGGTCAGCCCAACCTACCAAGGTTTAGAAACTTGGAGGAGAAGCTTCAAAAACCAAGAAGATAGCTTAGAAATTTCGGCCAAAGAGAAACAAGTGAGCTAGGCGGCCAAGGCTCCATTTCCTCCTTTGAATTATTTCAAAAATTGTTGATTTGGTTTAGTTAGGTTCATCAAATGATGATGAGACCTAGCTAAATCAAATCTATGAAAAATTAGGAGTAAAATGAATCTAATGTGCAAAATTTTGCCTAGGCCCAACTCAGGCCTAATTTCTAAACACACTCCCTAGCTTTGCTAAATGTCACCCCCTTTCCCTACTGAAAAAATAGAAAATGAATGTATCAACAAAGGAGGTTAAATGGTGTTAAACTCTCCAAGTAACCCACCCTAAAATCAATATAAAATCACTAATTAAAAGCAAGTAAAGTGCCTCACAAATACAAAGGCAAAATTAGACCTATACAAAGGAACTATGTACAAAATATATGAAAAGGTCTTTAAGATCATCCCATTCCTCTTGGTTCTTTTAAGATATTACCTCTTGGATTCCTTGGCCTAGGCCATAGTCTATCAAAGATGCTGAGGAGGTGACGTCGAAGGCTATTGATGTCGACGCCGTTGACCTAACCGAAAGTCCTCCTCCTGAGGGATCATCCCGAGCTGCTGTGGAGGAGGTCGCTCATGAGGCGTAGGTTGGAATTTCTTGTTTCTTATTATTTCTTTTTCCTGTTGTGTAGTTTCCTTGCCTTTTAACTTAGGGAAATTTTGTTTTTTGTAGGCGGAGCCTGACCCAACTGCCGCTGAGGTCCTAGTGGAACCGAGCTTGGAAGCGCCGAGGCTGGATGCCTCCGCTGCCGCGTAGGCAGCGCCTGCCCCAACTCCCGCCGAGGCTCGAAAAGAGGGGCCAAGTTTTGAGATCCCAGCGTTAAATCCTACAGCCACTGCACCACCGTCTCGTCCTCCGAAGGAGGCTCCCAAGGGGAAATTCCTCGCTCAACGTTTCGACAAGGATCGTCCCTTGACGAGGTTGGACCACGTGAGCGCGTCCTCGGATGTGGACTCATTGTGTAGTTTGAAGGTGACTGCTGAGACCTTCTACTCGAGGGGGTTGATCCGCTCGGCTGACAAGGCGATGATCAAGAAGGTCGAGCCAGTGGAGAGCCTCGACTTTGTGGAGGTCTTTATGCAGAGGTTGATCACTATTGTGGATCATTGGAAGCACAAGTGGTCAAAGCTGCAAGGG